CCCCCCCCCCCCCCCCAAATACGGGCACACGCACAACCACATGAACTCATGGTCACAAACATGCAATCACAGAATCACATCCAAAGCCCCCCCCCCCCCCCCCCCCCCCCCCCCGCCTTTGTTGTTGAACTCTTTGAGGTTCTTAACTCCCTGGACCTATTTAGTTCATGCTAAAATGTATAGTGTATAAAGAGTCATAAAATAATATATGATTGCATAGATAGGAACGGATTTCAGAAACCCGTTAAGATGTTTCATTCTCTTTCCAGAATGATCTCCAGGGAATTAATTTGCGTAATGAGTAGACTCGAGGCATTGTCCGCACTTCTGTCTGCTCACCTGCCAGTGGGAGGTCTGGGGTTGTCCCTGCTTCCCAGCTAGTGACTTCACATCCTTGTTGCCGCAGATCTATCGTGTGAGTTACATGCGAAATTCGGGCCACTCAGCATAATGACAAGACCATAAGGTCACGAAGACAGCAAGTGGGAAGAGATTTGCAGGCAAGCTGGAGCTGCGGGTTGTGGCCGGGCGTCCGTGGCATGTGTACCAGAACGAGTCTGCTCTCCTCTGCCTCTTCCCTGGTCTTCAGGGAAGACCTCGATGCCGAGCCTGTGTCTCTGTTTCTTAAAATTCTTTCCCTATCCTGGCAGAACCTCTGAAGGAGGAGGGGCTTCTTTATGTAGCCAGTCACCTTCCAGCCCTTTCTGGGTTTTATCCAAACCAATCAACCCAAGTGTTCCCATGAAAACATTGCTCTGTCAGATCCGGCTTCTCGGGATGTGGGCTATGGCATCTAATGGCACCTGGGCCAGAGGCATCTAAAATCTTGCTCCCCTCCCTTCCCCCCAGTGGTGATCTATACGTGAACAGGTATCTCTCCCTCCTCTTTAACCTTACTTGCTCATCTGTCTTGAAGGAGAAAAATAGGTTCTCTGTGCTCCCTGACAATACCGATTGGCATTTCTGGTTATTCGGAAGTGGGTCATGGAAACCAGAGACCCCAGTATAGCTAAGATCCAGAAAGGAAGTTACCCAGAACCCGGAAAGTTGTTGGGACACTTTCTGTTGCTCTCCATGAAATGGTTTCATCTTTATTCCAAAAGAAACCCCCTACTTCCCTGCCCCCTCCATGGGTAGAAGAAGGCCATCCAGAGACCCAGAGTGTGTATGTTAATAGAACGGCCACTTGCGGGAACGCAAGACTCCTCTAATGGTCACACTCGGACCAAGTAACTATCCCCGGTGCAAAAAGCTGTGATGCATGGGGACACCTGGGTGGCTCAGTTGGTTAAGCGTCCGACTCTTGGTTTCAGCTCGGGCCATAACCTCATGGTTCGTGAGTTCGAGCCCCCTGTCATTGGGGCTGATGGTACAGAGCCTCTGCTTGGGAATTTTCTTTCCCTTTCTCCCTGCCCCTTCCTGGCTTGCTCTCTCTCCCTTTCTCTCAATAGATAAATAAACATTAAAAAAAAAAAAAAAAAGCTGTGATGCATGCATACACCCTTTTATAGACCTGTCTGGGGGCCCCCTGGCCTGCATGTGGGAAGGGAGAGGTTCAGTTACCAGACAAGGGCGTCTGGTTCGGCAGCTGGGTAGGCATCCTCAAAAGGGACCTGCTACATTTGCCCTTTATCTCTGGCTGCTGTGTGCTGGGCATTATTCAGGATGACAGGGCTAGAACCACGAGCGAGACAAAGTCCCTGTCCTCACGTCCTTGGCCGTCATCTGTCTTGTTAGCGTCTCCATTCTGTAGCAGGCACGCTGAGTGCCTGTCCATTTGCCTTCTCTTGTTTCTCTTTATTCTTTTTACTTTGGGTTCTTTCTCAACAGATATTTATTGAACTCCCACGGTCTGCTGACACTGTGCTTGTTGATATGGGGGAGTTGTAAGCGTATCCTCTCATTTTGCACGGTGGTATTTTCAAAATGCATTAACTCAGGATTCATCTTATGAGTCTGAATTTGAAACCTTAGTCATTCTGAGCTTCGCCATCTATGGTATCGTGGTTTCTTCAGGCGATATATTTTCAACAGACGTGTGGTATTGGGAAAAGATCAATGTTTTTCTCCAAAGCAGGATTCGGTGAGGATGAGGCCACTGAGGTAGAAGAAAGTCATTGGCGTCTTGGGGGAGGGGGGGCCACTATAATGATTGCTCTCCGGAACAAAATTCCAGGGCTGGCCCTGATGCAGTGTAGAAAGGTGAGCTGGCCTCACACATGGTGGATGCCTGGGAGACATTATTTCATGTCATTCTATCACTAATCGTATACATTTTTGCACCCCAATATTCGTTATCCAACACTTAAATTCTTGTTTGGGAAAACGGTTTCCATTCTCATTTCTATCAGGAGTGGTTTTTGTCCCAACCTTCTCTTCTTCAAAGTCGAATCACCCAATGTTCTTTTCCTTTTTTTCTGGCCCACACATTCAATCCCAAAAAAGTCTCACAGGGTTTCCTTTTGAGCTCATTCTCCTTTTTTTTTTTTTTTTTTTTTTGCCCATTCTCCATTGAAGTCTTGCTTTTTAACATCTTGCTTCTAGACTGGAGACTTAATTTCCTAGCTGACCTCCTTATCCGCAGGTCCCCTCCTCTGTCCCTACTTGGGCCTCACAGTCAGCTGTACTTCTCCCCTGCTTAGAAACCGTCCGTGGCTTCAGAGGGCCTTCAGGATGAAGTTTAAACTTCTTTGCCTGGCATTTAAGTCCTTCCCCCAAGTCCATCCCCTGCCCCCCCCCCCCCTTTGCACCCTCAGTGCTAGTTTTTGTTTGGTTTAATTGGCTTCTCATACATCTTGTCTACTTGGGTCTTTGCCTAACTTCCTCGTAGGTCCTACCCCCAAATGGCCTTGTCCCCCTCTTTCCTAATAGAAACCTTACCCAACTTTCATGCTTTTATATCTGTCCTCCAACTCGGTTCTCACCGGGTCCCCTCATGCCCAGAGAGGCTGCTGCCCCCTGAGCCTCCTTAGCACCTTCAAGCCCCGTCTTAGTCACTTGCCATAAACTGTGGTGTACTGGTAACCATGGGTATACCATAGCACCCGAAACTGGTTAACATTTTTGAGAGCGGGACCCAGATCATTTGGGTTTGTTGCTGTGGTTGTGCCAGCAGCATCTCACAGGTGATTCTCAACGGTGGCTGCCCGCTCGTATCCCTTACGGCACATCAAAGCAGAGTTCAGCAAGTCGGAATCTGCGAGGGTCGGGCCCAGGATCTGGTTAATTGCGGGAGCTCCCTTGGGGATGGTCCTGTGCAGCCAGGGTCAAGAGCCACGGAGGGGACCGCTGTGACCCATACGAGTCCATGGCGCTTGAGCTCTCTGTGCAAATCATTGCATCTCTTGCCTGGAGAATTCAGAGCGACCCTTTAGAAGGCTTGAGTGAAAGTGACTTATTCGACTAGCAAATATGAGCGCCCGCTATGTGCAGGTACTCTCCTAGGCGCGGAGATCACCGTCCTGAACAAAACATGTCCCCGTTGTCCTGGAGCCTCTGCTCCTGGCCGGGGGAAGACAGATGATAAGTGCTGGAGGTGAACAAAGCAGGGTAAATGGGCAGAGAGGAAAAAAAAAAAAAGCAGTTATTTTTATGTAGGGAATGTTTTTGAAACTAGCCTATCTGCCTTAAACCAGCAAGTGCCAGCGTTCTGTGCCTGAAGTGTGGGAGCCGAGCTCTCGGGGCAGGCAGTCTTGAGGCAGGGCCTTTAGCTCTCGGCGGCCCCTTGTCCATAAGCACAGGGCAGAGAAGCCCCCCAGGAAGCCAGAGGAACCCCGAGAGTGGAGGCTGGACGCAGGGAGCGAGCCTCTGAGGAGACGGGGTCCCGTACTGGGGAACAGCTAAGGCGCTGCGAACAGGGACCCAGCTGTGAGTACTCCTCAGGATAACACTTTCAAGACTTTTCTGTCAGTGAGTATTCGTTGCAGCTGTGAAGTAGATGTTTCCTGAAATGAGATGTCAGTTCCTTAAATGGCGTACCCCATTCATGTCTTTGGTAGGGGGAAGGCATGGCAGATGAGGGTATAGGTGAGGAAAGGGAGAAGGCTTCCTCCGCAAGGCATCCCTCCCCGAAGGTCTGTGCTTGAGGTGGGTGGCCCCTTGTCCTAAGGGGTACACCTGGTAGCTGGAGATGGGGTGTGTTCAGGTGTAGCGGTGTGAGTAATGGGTATATCATTATTCTCCTTGCTGCCGCCTGCCTACGTCAAGGTTATGGTGGGGGAGGGGGTGGCTCACACAGAGGCTCGACTATAGGACTGAAATCAACCTTGAAGCAGATAGACCGGCGTGTGTCGTAACCACAGAAACCTAACCGGCGCCATGCAGTGGAAGAGCACGCACCCCTGCGTGGACTGGGATCGCGAAAGCCACCTCACGCAGGGTGCCAGGCGCATGGGGGGGGGAAGCAGCTGGTGCATTCAGGATCCCGGGCCGAGCCGAGCCCGTCACCCCGAGGGCTGAGAACTTCCTTTGTAGGGCGCGGAGGTGTGCCTTCGCCGTCCCTTTCTGCGGCCACTGGATGCAGGGCGCGTGCCCTTTGCCGGCATCTTTGCCCGAAACTCCATCCCAGCGGCCGAAAACACCGAGATCCGGACGGCAGTCCCCGGGGCCCGGAGGGGGAGCCCAGCGGGGGAGGGGAGGCCCCGGCCGGGGCCCCGCGGCCCCTCCCCGCCCCGGCAGCCCGGCCGCACGCCGCAGCGGGGCAGGCGGGGGCGGGGCGGGAGTCGGCGGCGGGCGAGGCCCGCTGCTCGGCGCCCCGGGCACCCGCGAGGGGGCGGGGCGGCGCCGGGAGGGGGCGGGGCGCGGGGCGGGGCGGCGCCGGGAGCAGCTGCGGCGGCAGGTCTCCAGGGGGAGCCGAGGTACATAGGCGGGCCCGGCGTCGCCCCGAGAGAGCATCCTTCCCGGCCGCTCCCCGCCCGCCGGCCCCGCAGCCCGTGCTCGCCGCCTCCTGCCTGGCGTGACTTCTTTGTGTTCTGTGTTCCGCCCGCACCCCGTCGCTGCAGGACCCGTTCGTCCTTCTTCGGGCTACAGGAAGGCGGAGGATGAGATGTCCCGGGCCACGTCTGTGGGAGACCAGCTGGACGCCCCAGCGCGCACCATTTACCTCAACCAGCCGCATCTCAACAAATTCCGGGACAACCAGATCAGGTAGGGGGGGGGGGCGGCCGAGAGACCCAAGGACCGTTAAGTCACACTGGGATGGGGTCCATCCGGTCTTGGCAGCTTTTCCTCACACCTAGCCAGCCCCCCCCCCCATTTCTTCCTCCAGCCCCTCCCCCTCCCGCGTCCCCCTAGAGCCTGGCAGCCTCCACCTGCGCTTCCAAAGGGGTCATGCGAATACAGCCTTTACCTGTCTCTTCCTGGGCTCCGTTCCTCAGGCTTTCTGTGAGCCCCGAGGAAGTTTTTTTGTGTCCCCGACAAAAAAGAGGTCTCTTATCTTTTCATCCCTGGGCTCTCTTCCAAGGATTCCTCCTAGTCCCCTTTCAAGCTAAATGAGAGCTCTCCTTACCGATGTGCAGACCCCAACGCAGGGAAGTGCTTTATAAAGGAATTCCACAGGTCACAGGGACTCGCAGTCACCCCTAAATGGTCCCCACCATTGCTTATGAAGTATGTAGACGCTGGGAAACTTTGTGCGGAGCTAGCCCTCCTCCATCTTCCAACATTTAAACGTCTACCTTTTGCTGGCTGCTGTATTGGATGCTTTAGCTGGACTTGTTACCTTCAGATTAAGAAACTGAGCTAGAAAGATGTTAAATAACGTACCTGTGGTCCTATAGCTACTAACTAGCACAGCTGCAAATAGTACCCACCTCCTCCTATTAAAGCTCAAGTTCTTTCGGCTGTGGGCTGTGCGAAGCTAGGTTTTTAGGCCCAGGTGTTGGGAGGTTTGTAAATATCATTACATTTTCAGACTTACTCAACTTTATGTGAGTGACTTCGGAGGATGTAGTGCTGTGAGTGGCTCAGAACACCATGCGCAGGTGTAGAGAAGTTAAATCATCAGGTTACCCATAGATTATTGACAAGCTTGGATTCCAATACAGTGTCTCTTGAAAGCTTTGGTGAAACTTCGTTGCATGTTTTAAATATTCGGCAACAGCATTAGCGCTTACATAGGCTGCTTAGCCAGACATCTTTATTGAAAAGGGTTTGGCTGGTGGGCGTGATTGTAGCTTGATGGAGTTTGTGGTAGAATAATGGTGCATATTATATGGAGGTGATCCCTCCTTTTATTAAGGGAGTGTTAGATTGTTTTGGGCTAGATTATTAGCGTGAGGCTTTATTTTGGGTTTACAAAACAGATGAACATAGGAGAAAGGAAGGAAAAATAAGATAAAAAGGGAGACGGAGGCAGGGGTGCCTGGGTGGCTCAGTCGGCTGAGTGTCTGACTTCGGCTCAGGCCATGATCTCACACTTTGTGGGTTTGAGCCCCGCATTGGGCTCTGTGCTGACGGCTCAGAGCCTGGAGCCTGCTTCAGATTCTGTGTCTNCCCCCCCCCCCCCCCCCCCCCCCCCCCCCCCCGGCCTTTCCCCTCTTGCACTCTGCCTTTCTCAAAAATAAGTAAACATTAAAAAAATCAAAGGAGGGAGGCAAACCATAAGAGACTCTTAAATACCGAGAACACACTGAGGGTTGCTGGAGGGGTGTTGGGTGGGGGTGGGGGATGGGCTAAATGGGTGACGGGCATTAAGGAGGGTACTTACTGGGATGATCACTGGGTATTAGGTGTCAGTGGTGAATCACTAAATTCTACTCCTGAAATCATTATTACACTATATGTTAACTAAGTTGGATTTAAATAAAAATTTAAAACATTGGGGAGGGGAAAAAAAAGAATGACCATTGGGACATAGTCTTGACTTCAAAATGTAGCCTAGGAGAATAGCTGAGGTCCCATTCAAGAATGAGTGGGCTTGGATTAAAATGCAGAGCACCCACCACCGTGAGTTCCTATGTCCCAAACTCCCATGCTCTGATCAAAAATAATAAGAGTTGGGTGTTGGTCAGGACGTGGAGAAATTGGACCTCTCCATACATTGATGATCGTAATGAACAGTGGTGCAACTGCTTTGGAAAGCAGTTTGGCAGTTCCTCAAAAGGTTAACTGTAACATTTACCATGTGGGGCGCCTGGGTGGCTCAGTCAGTAGAGTGTCCAACTTTCGCTCAGGTCATGATCTCCTGGTCAGTGAGTTTGAGCCCCACGTTGTGCTCTGTGCTGACAGCTCAGAGCCTGGAGCCTGCTTTGGATTCTGTGTGTCCTTCTCTATCTCTCTGCTCCTCCCCCGCTCATACTCTGTTCTGTCTCTCAAAAATGAATAAACGTTAAAAAAAATTTTAAAATTACCATGTGACCCCACCAATCATCTAGGTGTATCTACCCAAGGTCCATAAACTGTGCACCCAAAAACATGTACACAAATGATGCAGCCTTATCATAATAGCCCCAAAGTGCAACAACCCAAATGTCTATCACCTGGTGAATGAATAAACAAAATGCGGTCTATCTAGACGATGGAATACTATTGGCCTTGAAAAGGAATGAACTACATTATCTGCTACAACATGGGTGAGACTTCAGTATTCTGGTAAATGAAAGCAGCTGCTCACAGAAGTCCTCATTCCACTCACAGGAAGTGTCCAGAGAGGCAAATCTGTTGAGATGTGGATTAGTGATCCCTTGGGCTAGGGAAGAGGCGGGAGGTTGAGAAATGGGAAGGTCTGCTAGCGTATGTGGGCTTTCCTTTGGGAGTGATCATTACACAACTCTGTGATTGTACCTAAAACCTAAAAGCCAATATAGTTTCTTCATATCTTCTATGTGTTTCCATTCATTTACTTCTAAAAGTATGGAAAGATTACCTTAAAAATGTCCTTTTTTTTTTTCTTTGCTTGATTTTTTTGGGGCTCAAGAGCTTAAGATTTCACTATGCTATACACTTTAAACAGTAAATGTGTTAGGCCAAAAAATATATACTGTATAAGGATATAGAATTGAAGGATTTTCTTTTTAAATCTTAGGTTTAAGATTTAAAACCTAAATCTTAGCTTCCTATGTCCCAAACTCCCATGCTCTAATCAAAAATAACACCTGGGGCACCTGGGTAGCTCAGTCGATTGGGTGTTTGACTTCAGCTCAGGTCATGATCTCGTAGTCTGTGGGTTTGAGCCCTGTGTCGGGGTCTTTGCTGGCAGCTCAGATCCTGGAGCCTGCTTCAGACTCCATGTCTCCCTCTCTCTGCCCCTCCCCTGCTCACATCTCTCTCTCAGAAGTAACTAAACATTTAAAAAAAAAAAAACAAAAAACCTTAGGATATTTTCAAGTAGTATTTTTGCTTAGTTTTTCTTAACTTCTTTGGCTTTGGTATCTGTTTAAGCATGCTGAAAGCTGGGAAAATAAGGGTCTTTGTTTTTGTTTAAACTTCCTATTACATGGAAGATGAAGATTTTTAAAGAGCTTTGGTAATGTGGATTCACTACTCATTCCTTAATCAAGATGCAAAGCTGACTTTTAGCACTTGAATGTCGCTGAAGTCGTCTTCTAAAAATCTTAATTCTTTTATAAGGTTTTTTATGTTGGCCATGGATGTTTGCCAAAAGTCGCTAAAAACTCTTCAAAGGAACAATTTCATAAAAGAGGTTGAAAAAGGATTCCCACCCACCCACCCCTGTTACGTTCCTTGAAAAAGGGTTTTAACTTTCGGGGGTGGGGGGTGGGGAGGCAGGGTCATGGAGTATATATTACTCCATATATATTACTGATTATTTGCTCCTAAATCAGTTTTTGAAAAGAGAGCAGGTAGGACAGGTGAGTCTCGTGCCAGCTCAGGTGTCCCGGGGACTGATTTTGTGGATGTTGCACAGACCTCAGGAGGCTGGTGTTCCCGCTGACCTTCCCCCCGCAGGCCCTTTCTGACTCCGAGTGGAGTGAACTGATCATGGCAGTGACTCTGTGACGATCTTTGTGGCCACCTGGCATTTTGATTTCAGAAAAGAGATCAGAGTTTGCCAAGAAGGGACGTGGCTGTTGGCACCGGGGAAGGTGGGTACAATTCAGGACACATTGAGAGTCTAGAGTTAATGTTTGAACTAGCATATCCAAGGAGGAGGCTGGGCCTGTTGAATGCATGGGTAAGGTCCCTGCTGGAGTTGTTGGTGGCCTTGGCACTCCTAGGGGATATGCCACACATGCTAACTCCAAATGCCAAGCAGTTGCTTAAAATTCTAGGAAGAAATGCACCATATCCGTAGATGTCTCTCTCCACTATATTCGTGTTCTCTCCCGAAAATCATACCAGTGATTGATTAAACCTGTGGTAGGTTGAAGTTTCCATTATTGAAGCCAGTGAATTTAGATTCCTGTAATGATGAAGAAATAGGACATGGTACTTTTCTCCTAAGTACAGATTTTCCTAGGGCCTTTGTTATAAAGACAATACCTCTCCACCCTCTAGAAATGGGTAGTAATTAATGGAATATTTGCAAGGTACATACATATGTAGGATTGTACATATATGTCCACCTGACAAGATCCCTTTTTTCTTGTGTACAATCTCCTTTTAAATATTTTAATTTAAAATTTTAAAAATTTGATTTTTATCTTTTTTAAAATGTTTTATTTATTTCTGAGAGAGAGATACAGAGACCGCGTGAGCAGGGGAGGGTCAGAGAGAGGGAGACACAGAATCCAAAGTACGATCTAGGCTCTGAGCTGTCAGCACAGAGCCCGACACGGGGCTTGAACCCACGAACTGTGAGATCATGGCCTGAGCCGAAGTTGGATGTCTAACCGACTGAGCCACCCAGGTGCCCCATAATTTTTTAACTTTTGAGAGGGGCAGAGGTGGGGAGAGAATCCCAAGCAGACTCCACACTCCCTGTGTAGCCCCACTTAGGGCTCAATCCCATAACACCTGGCATCATCACCTGAGTCAAAATCGAGTCAGATGCTTAATTGACTAAGCCATCCAGGTGCCTACCCCTCATTTTAAGTATTTAATAGCTTTATTGAGATATATTTTACATACATATAATTTGTCTACCTAAAGTATATAATTCAGTGATTTTTTAGTATATTTAGAGTCGTACAGCCATCACCACATGCATTACCGTTTCATCCCCCTAGGCCTGAGGAACCCTCATT